TAACATCCTGAGTAATAAGGTATGCAGGTGGCTACATTTTTATTTCTCTCAGTGTTATTATTACAACTGACACATTTCTGTACAGCGTTTTTATATTGATTTGTTCATGTTTTTGGTTATCTTTGTTAATTCCAGCTCATAATGATGAACTTTATTTTTGTTTTTATTGAAATACATAAACCTCTTGAGTAAGGATATTCATCAAATTGACTTTCTACATTTCATTGTATGTGAACACAGATGTCAGTGTTCTATCTCCCGTGTGAAATGGTAATATTGAGGTTAGTCGTAGAGTGTTAGGTAATTAAGGGAAGTCAATCGATAAGGTTGTTAAGCTGTATCGATTGAGTGGCTAGCGTACATGTTATGCATGCATACTGAGTCAGTGCCTTCCTTCTCAACGAGCAATGTTGGCTGACATTGAATTAGGTTCGAAAGGAGTATGGGATAGTCAAACAGAAAGAAGATAACATCAGCCAGTGAGCCAATCACGTGGAGAGGCATAGACCGCATGGTTTCGAGGACTTTGAGACGCTGATAAGGTCCAATGACTTGAAACTTTTGGTGATATGACTTGAAATGTGTGGCGCATCTTTCTTGGTGCCATATTGTACCAAGTTTTTCTGCGTTTAAATAAATAAATAATGGCTTGAAATTGTTCTCATGTGCCCAGTAGGTGTGGTCACTTTATGTAATCTCTCTGGTCCATTCAATCCTGATGCTTTTACCTTCTTTTATTCCTTCTCCTGCACATTACTGCTCCTTATTATTATTATTATTCCATTGCGTTTCAAGTGGAATGTACGGCTTCAACAACACATCTCCACTTTGTTCTGTCTTCTGCCATCCTCTTCAGCTGGCTAGCCACACGATTGACGAAACTCTCTCATCTCTTCCAACTCACACGGTCTCCATGTCACCCTGGCACCGACGACACACTCGTCGATTCCCATTTAGATTCCACTCGAGCTATGGCCTAGCGTGCGATGTATTTCGGTTGCTTCCTGAACGTATGCCCGATCCATCTGCACTTTCTCCTACATATTTGTTGAGCGATCGTCTCTTGCTTGTTGATTTGTTCCACTGCAGAGTTTCTTGTTGCTTATTCTTTCTGCCCATTCGATCTTCAGTATGGAGCCAATGAAGGTGGTAGCTGTTGGTGGAAGCCTGCAGTGACTTGTTGGAAATCCTTTTTGTGACACTCAGTTCAAGTTTCTGACCCGTATAGAAGAACTGACTGACTGACTTGACACTGGTGTTGAAAATCCGAATCTTATTCCTTATGCTGAATGAGGGAAGCAGAAGATTTCCAAACTGGTTTCAGGTTGATGAAAGCGTATCTTATCTTTCCGATTCTGACTGGTTAGCTTTGACATCTTCATCCGTTCCACCTGTAGTTGAATCGATGTTTCCTGGCTGGATTAGTGAAGGAAGTAACCTCTGTTAAATGTCTCCCGTTGATTGTGATTGGTGCTGGTTGTTGTTGCTTTTGGTTGGTTGGTTGGTTATTTTCATCACTTCCGTCTTCTCTGTGTTCACCTGGAGTCGTGTTTTCGCTGCCTCTTCAGGTGGTTTGTTGGTTTTCGCTTGCAAGTCTTCGAGTTTGTGTGACATTAGACATATATCGTCTGCGAAATCCAGATCTTCCAGAGTCTTCTTATATATATATATATATATATATATATATTCCTTTTGGCTCCGAGGAGAACATAAGGCTTAACCAGTACACCTCCATTTCAGCCGACTCCGCGGATGTCCATAAGCTTTTATCACCTCATCACACGATCTCCTCCATTTCACCTTCGGACACCCAAATCACTGTTTCCCTCTCGGGTTATACTCAAGGGCCTGGTGCAGAACGTTACTCAACAGTCTCCTCAGTATTATGTCCCATCCTTCTCCATTTTCTTCGTCATATTTGTTGAACAATAAGTTCTTGATTGGTTCACTCATTCCCAGAGTTTCTTGTTATTAATCCCTTCTGTCAGCTGGCTATCTGACCTTCAATATCGAGGTGAAGGCAGCTGTTGATGAAAGTTTCTAGTAGCCTGTTGGAAATGCTTTTCTATGATTCATGAGCTGCCATGTCTCTGAACCATATACAAGAACTGGCTTAATATTTGTGTTGAACATCGGAATTTCGTTGTTGATGCCGACTGTGTGCAGAAGATTTCCACACTGCTTTCACAGTGATGAAGGTTTGACTTGTCCTCCATATCCTGGTTTTAACATCCTCATCCATGCTGACCGCCTGTAGTTGAGACGATAGTGCCTAGGTTAGTGAAGGGAGTGACCTCTTTGAAATTTCTCTGTTGATAGTGATTGGTGCTGGTTGTTGTCCTTGTTGTTGTTGGTTGGTCATCTTCATCACCTCCGTCTTCTCGATGTTCAGCTGGAGTTCTGTCTTCTCTGCCTGCTTCTTCTCCCAGTTTGTTGATTTTCGCCTGTGCCTTCGAGTTTGTGTGACATTAGACATAAACCATCTACCAAACCCAGCTTTTCTAGTGTCTTCTTATCGGTGGTCCGGTGTATTCCTGTCTCCTTGCTCCCATGCAGAGTCTTCCGGATAATCTAGTCCCCCGCGATTAGGAATATTATCGGTGATACTATACAACCTTCAAAGGTTTCATTGAGTTTTCTGTTGTGGATCACCTGACATGTGTCACTGTCATAAAGTTGTTCAATGAAGTTGATTGATAAAGGTTTTGGGTACTCCATAGAGTGTTTATGCAGTCTCCAAATTACTTAACAGTCGACACTATCAGAGTGCTTTACCCTAAGTCGATGAATTTGAAGTAGAGCTATGACTGCCACCATTCTGTGCTTTGTTCGATGATGAAGTTGAGTAACCTTACAATTTGATCCGCACATGATTCGCTCTTACCAAAATCCAACTTGTCCTGGGTGGAGTTTCACATTCTTACTATCTTTTAATCTATTAAATGGTTGAAGGCAATCGGCCACAGGAAGCCTTGGATCTAGGTTTCGTGCTAGTTGGCACCCACCAGTCAGCAAGTCGTATCTACAACCAGCTTGAAGGAGCTCATGTCCCTCCTTCTGAGATTCGAACCCGCGTCACCCAGTGCAGTTCTGCAGTCAGAGGCATTACCACTGATATCATCAAATTAATGTACACCGTGATGGCGAGCTACCTAGTGGCATGGTGGCCACATTGTGTAAACCTGACTGACAGAATTCAGTCTGCACCAAAGAGAGGACTAGACAGATCACACTAGTTATTAGTGTCTGATTAAAGTATCTTTTAATCTCTCCACACCTAGTATGACATGGTAGAAAAAATATTCAATTACAGATTAAAAAGTGACATAGGATCCGTGTGGAAAAGAGTTAGTGGTGTGATAGTCAAATCGAAACATGACTTCATCACTCAATCAAATCCATAACAGTTAGTTTAAGCCAACCAGCCAGTCAGCCAGCCATGTAGGGAGGTGCAGACTGCCTATCTGCCTGCGTGACTGGTTAGGGTCCGCGAAATGCTAAGAACCAATAACATCTGGAGACAGTTGATGATATGACTCGCTTAACATAGTTCTCGGTGATGGCTGGCAAAGATGCATTCATCCTTTGTCATTTGTTATCTCTCTTTTGAATCTCTTCTATTGCTTTGTGTGATAGATGGAAGGCTGCTGCTGCTGCTGCTGCTGGATTCAACATAGAACTTGGCACCGAAGTGCAGCAGTTCGAGTTGCCACGTTCCAAAATAGCACACAAAAGTAGACAGGAAAATGAGTGAAGAGAATCAGTAGAATTTAGATAAGTATAAGAGTGAAACAGAATGAGTAATGGTAGAAAGGAATATGAAAGATTACAGAGACTGAATACATCTGCGTAAGCCATTGACAACGATTTTGAGCCATGTCACCTATTGTCTCCAGCCATTGATTCTTAGAGTCCCGAGGGCGGGCTCCAACCCGGAAGTCTGCATCTCCCTACCTGACTCAGTTTAACTGTTAAGGATTTCATGGATTGATGAGGCCATGTTTTTGTTTGGCCACCACTTACTCTTTTCCAAGCTATATCACCTATATCAGCTAGTAATGCCCGTCCGTCGGGGGAGGCGATGGCTAGGCATACGCAGCACGTGACCTAGCCATCTCAATCTATGTAACTTTATAGCCTCTTCGATTGATTTTCCCTCTTTGCCCAACACTCTACGCCTAACGTCAACATTACTTACCTTATTATACCACCTAACGCGAGGAAGAGATCGTAAACATCTGTGGTCAAAAACAGACAATCTCCTCATGTCTTCCGCTCTCAATGGCCACGTCTCACCGCCATAGAGAAGGACGGAGCGAACTGATGAGCAGTATACACGTCCCTTGGTTGACAGCCGGATGTCACGCCTACGCCAGAGACGGTGTAAGTTAGCGAAAGCAGCCCGAGCTTTCTGGATCCGTGCTGTGATTTCGTCACCAATGGAAGGAGAGTGTGACAACTTGCACTGTTGCTCATCTGTGCAAAGTTCTACGTTGAAAACAGCCAGTCAGAGTAAGAGGTCATAACTGTCGAATTCGAATCAGGCGAATTGTTTATTTTATTTTTACTTCAGTAAAACTAAAATATATCAAAAGTGTTGGTTTGTAGGGATTTGATTGATTGGTTACAGGATTTTCATCATGAGCTGATATTAGTTAGAGAACCATTGGAAAACCTGGGAGGAGTACTGGACAGCTGTTTCGTCCTAGTTTGGGACTCTTCAGCCATGGGCCATTGGATCGGGTCCCAGTGGCCTAATGGTATACGAGCTAGCTCGCCTTGTAACCAGAAGGTCCTGGGTTTGAATCCTGTCGGTGGGTGCGTACCGATGAAGAGTCCCAAAATGGGATGAAACAACTGTCCAGTACTCCCTGCAGGTTTTCCAATGATTCTCTAACTAATGTCAGTTCATAATGAATATCCTGTAAAATACATTAATTTGAAGTTTTCAACAATTCATTTGACTTACTTTGATTATTTCTCTCTTTCTCTCTTGCTAGATCGCCTGTTTAGAAGCTGAATTATCGCATCGCGATACTCTTATTCAATACCTGTCTGAACAATTATCAAAATTATATCAAGATAATGATAGGATATTTGCTGAATATGAATTTCAAGAAGCCAATCTAACCAATCATTTACGTATGTTACGGTCCCGTTTAACTGAAACCAGTGACAACCTATCACGTCGACCGCATCCACCAGCGCCACCGCCTTCGACTAAGGCTTATCTTCATACTGATTATACAACCCAATCGATAACAACATCTCAACAGATTAATTTTAATGTGACTGATTCTCTAGTTCATAATTTTGCTACAGAACTTAATCATCAATTGATGGCAACTATTGATGACAATAACCGTTCAGACCAACAACAACAACAGCAACAACAACCTACCTCATTATACCAAGTAGAATTACAAGAACTTGGTATGGCTGTACAAAATCTGTTAACCTACTGGGAGATAAAAAGTAAAGAAATTAATTATCCAGTTGTATGTCAACAATTTTTTCAATCTTTACTAAATTTTTTCAACATTTCACTCAATTCACTGACCAAACCATCGCCGCCGCCGCCGCCGCCACAAGCCCGAGAACCCTCCGAACTGTTGAATTCAAATTTAGACGAGTTAAAATTAAGAGCTGAAACAGCTGAACAACAAGTTGGTCATTTATCGAATGAAATAAAAAATTATGAATTTCAATTGAGACAATTGAATGAACAGTTTAGTAGGAGAGTTGAACAAGAAGTTACTGAAAGATTGAAACGCGCAGATCAATTATCCATGGGGTCAATGTCGTCTTCAACAAGTTTTCAAGGCGAAGAAGAAGGAGGATCACAAGCGCCAACTATCGCTACCACGACTACAACAACTACTACTATGGATATTGATAATTCACTAGATGATGAATTAAAGGAGTCTAAACTGCCTCAGCCGCCGCCGGTGCCACTTCCGCCGTCATCATCATCCGTCGGTAAAATACATAAACATCCCTTAAAATTGATGTCATCCAAAGCTGTTGAATCTACTATACCAGTACAGGCAATACCTGTACCAATGGCTTCAACAACCACACCAACAACCCCAACAACGATATTTGACAACCGTTCACTGAATGATTTACTTCAACGTATCTGGGCATGTTTATTATCTAGAGAATCAGAATTAAAATCTATGGAAGTACAAAAATCAAAATTATGGTTAGTTAAAAAAGAAGAATATGAGACATTGTTTGAAGCTTATAGAATTATTGAACAATTCCAGTTGAATCAACAGCAACAACAGGAGCAGGAGGAGCAGCAGCAGAATGACTATTTGAAACCAGAACCAGTGATAGTAGAGATCGATACAAGATCGAGTCAAGCAGCCACGTCTACACTTGATCCAAAGAATGATATCAATAATGCTTCAACAGATACACAGACACACCATACTTTACCTGATCAGTATACAACAACATCAACTTATGATAAAGATGAATGGGAAGAAATTGTCACTGTAAGATCGATAAGGAAAGAGAAATCGTATTCAACAAAATATTCTACAAAATCAGTACAGCAGTCAGATATTTCTACATCAACAAGTGATTTAGCACTAGATGCAGAAGAAGTACAACAAGAACAACAACAAGAAGCAGATAAAGAATGTAAGCTAAAAGAGGATCATGTAAGTTAATGATTTATGGGTGTGTTTTTTTCTTCTTGTAATTAACTTTAAATGGTTAACATATTGTGTTGTGTATCCCTTTTTGAAGAATTTTCAGTTCAAGGTATAGATGTTAAAAGAAAGTAAGATTTGAGATTTATACTACCTGATTTTGGTCTTTAGAGTTAATTGGTATGGCTGTGAGACCTAGCCATTGAGAGAGGGGGACATGAAAAGGTCGGCTAGTTGGCTGTTTGTCATCATAGGTGCCTGAGTTCTATCTCCCGTGCAAATGGTATAATGAGGTGAGTAATATTGAGGTTAGACATCGGTCGAGTGCTAAGTTAGGAGGGAGGGGAAATCAATAGACGAAACTGTGAAGTTACATCGATTGAGATGGTTAGGACATGTGTTACGCAAACCTAGAGTAGCCATTGCCTTCATCGACAAGAAATGTTAGCTGACATAGGGTCAGGTTGGAAAAGAGCTAGTACGTGGTCGTCAAACCAAAATATGACGTCATCAGTCAATCAAATCCACAACAGTTAGTTTAAGCCAGTCACGTAGGAAGGTGTAGACTTCCTGATTGGTTGCGGTTCTCGTGACGGTAAAAACCAATGGCAGCTGGAGACAATTCTGTCTGTCTCTCTCTTTTCGACGTAGAACTTTGCACATATGTGCGTCAGTTCAAGTCGCCATACTTCAACTCAGCACACAAAGCAAAAGAAGAAAGTAGGAGAAATGCATAATATAGACAGTAAACAGATGTGTGAGACAAAGGTATAGTAATAACGAAGAACAAAACAGTTTCATTGGAAATTATAAGTCACAAGGAGTGGATGCATCTGCACCAGCCGTTGACAACGATTTTGAGCCATGTCACCAATTGTTTCCAACCACTGGTTTTTACCGTCCCGAGGACCCCAACCAGGAAGTCTGCGCCTTCCTACTTGACTGGCTTAAAGTAACTGTTGTAGATTTCATTGACTGATGCCATGTTTTCGTTTGACCACCTGTGGCTCTTTTCCAACCTGACCCTATGTCAACTAACATTGCCCAGTGTCGAGGAAGGCGATGACTAGGCATACGTAACACATGTCCTAACCATCTCAGTCGATGTAGCTTCACAGTCTCGTCGACTGATTTTCCCTCCTTACCTAGCACTCGACGGACGCCTAACCTCAATATTGCTCACCTTATTATACCACTTCACGTGGGAGATAGTACGCAGACACCTATGATCAAAGACAGCTAATCTTTTCATGTCTTCCGCTCTCAATGGCTGATTCAAAATCTTCGTTCTCAATGGCTGGCGCACATGCATCCACTCCTTGAGACTTATAATACCCAATAAAAACTATATTGTACTTCGATATTACTATTCTTCTTGCCTCATATCTCTGTTTTGAATCTCTTTTTACTCTCTTCTCTTGCTTTGTGTGCTCCATGGAGGGTGTGTGGCGACTTGAACTGCTGCAGATCGGTGCAAAGTTCCATGTTGAAACCAATCATTCAGTTAGTCAGTTTTATTACCATTATCATAATTTACGCATCTTTACCGAACTGTTTTCTTTTTATTGATCTTACATAACAATCAGCTCATGTCATGAAATCCTGTAACTAAAGGAAATGAATTTGCTCTATAAAGAGATTCCTTTTTCACTCAACAATGACACCTCGTACCGTTCCGCCCACCCCAATGAATCGATCATACCATAAAAACAAAAGGTCAAGTCAAGGCTCCAATATAGGCAAAAAGGTAAAAGGTTACAAAAGAAATTCATACACTGTAACTGAGTACAGTTCACCTTGCGTGTTATCATAATAAATAATTAGATATAAGTGTGAAAGAATTTAGTACTGTGAGATATTGAAGGATGAGTCATAATCAGAATATAGTCAAACAGAATAATGAAATGCGTAAAGACACTAAGTTGAAATTTTATTTTCACAGAGTTATGGTAACAAAAGATAGTCAGTCTTACACAGTAGAAGATAAGAATAATAATAATGGTAATAATAAAAGTTCACTGTATACAATAATGGTGGATCTTCCTCTGCCTTGCTTTCTTACTGAAGCCAGTGTCCCTCAAGGTGCAGTTCTCTCTGCTCCTTCTCCTCCACCTTTTTCTTTCTTTTTACATAACTTGCCTTATTCAGGAAGAAACCGACTTTGTTAAATATCCGGAAGACCTTACTGTCCCATCAAGTGCTGATCACTTCCCGAGCTGACTGTTCTTAACTGACTGAATAACTTTCTGTCCGACATTAGCTTAGTGGGTCTTATGTTAAATCCCTTCTAATGTTAGACAGTTAATTTCACATTCAATAATAAAACGTGATCTTAACGAAATCATTAGTTCTTACGATGCTTGTAGCTTAGAGGGCACTGATATGGGGAATAAATCAAGCGTAAAATACATTGGTATGGTTCTGTCGTCTCACCTTTCTTTGTTGGCCGATCATCCCATGCCCTGTCGATTTGTCTAACAATTCTACATTAAGAAGTTATGACAGTCTGGAATTACTCAACCTTTACTTTTGCAATCTGCTGTTAACTCGTGCATATTACCCTGTGGTACTTTACTGCTCTACCCCACTCCACCTTAGTCTTCCCCGGGCTAACACTCAAAAATGACTATGTCATATTCCGAAGGGTATTAAAGGTTGTCACAGTGGGGTAAGCCAGATCGTTACTACTGTAGTCGACTGAGACACCTGAACTCATGTGAGAAATGGTCGAAATCCATATTTTCTGATTCCCAATAACACCCTCTGCATTCTCAAGTCTCCTCGCCTTGCATTTCATCAGATAGAGGAGTAGAAGTCATTATAAAAGGTGATATGCTCCGTAAAACCAAGTACAAAGCCTCAACGATAGCCTATATGGCTCGCCCACCCGCGTTCTATGTGATGATAGAGGAAGTGTTAAGCGTGAAACTTATAATTGACTATGTTATTGCCAGCGGCTCTTTCTATCCTCCCCCATTTGTAATATATGGTGACACTTGTTACTAGTGTCCAATGAAAATATCCACTACAGCCCTACAAGAGGTCAATCGCGGGCTTGAATAGCTCAGTGGTAACGTCTCTGACTGCAGCACTGTACTGAGTGACTGGGGTTCGAATCTCAGAAGGAGGGACATGAGTTCCTTCTAGGTTGCAGATGCACCTTGCTGACTGGTTGATGAGCGCCAACTAGTACGAAACCTAGGTTCTAGGCTTCCTGCGGCCGATTGCCTCCAGCCATCTAATATCATCAAACCAATGTACACCGTGATGGATGGTGAGCTACCTAGTGGCATGCTGGCCACATTGTAAACCTGACTGATAGAATTCAGTCTGCACCAAAGAAAGGACTAAACACGTCACACTAGTTACTGGCTAGTGTCCAATGAAAACATGGTGACACTATTTCAATTAACTTATAATTTTAGCTATTAACACTATTATTATCACCATTGTTTTACACTTTTTGTACATTTTTGACTTTATTGTCACTGCAAACGCCAGAAGAAACTGCCATTAGCAATCCTTTGATATTATTTTTTATTTTTCCTGTTGTCGAGTAAATTAGATGCAATAATATTGTAACAAATTCTAAAAATTCCACATCAGATTTCATAAGTACTGTTTTGAAATACAGCAAATTATTATTATTATTACTATTAATAATCGTAAAATTAAAACATGACACCAATCCATCATGTGTTCAACTATCGATTTTAACCCCACTAGACTGTTATCTGTCTGGCTTCAGGTTCTCAAGATGCTAGGAGTCAGTCGTTAGTCAATAAGTCTGAGTAAATGGGCGTGTGGTGAATTGACATAAAATTGACTGACGTGAAGTAGTTCCAGTTGCAAATCTCCCTCTATGTAGCACACAAAGCAAGAGAAGAGAGTAAAGACAATATCATCAGTTATCTCCAGCCATCATCGGTTCTCATTATCCCGAGGACCCCAACCAGTCAGTGAGGTAAATAGACAGTCTACACCTCCGTCGCTGGCTGGCTGGCTTAAACTAATTGTTGTGGATTTCATTGACTGATGAAGCCATGTTTTTGTTTGACCACCACTTATTAGCTCTTCTTCAACCTGAACCTGTGTCAGCTAACATTGACTGTTGTCGAGGAAGGCTACGGGTAGGCATCGATGTAACTTCACAGCCTTGTCTTTTGATTTCCCCTGCTTAACTAGCACTCGACCGAATCCTAACCTCAATATTACTCAACCTATTGTACCTTTTTTACACGGGAGATAGAACTCAGGCACCTATGATCAAAGACAGCTAGCTAGCCGACCTTTTCATGTCTTCCCCTCTCGATGGCCATGTCTCACAGACAGCCATAAAGGAGATCGAAGTGGACTGCTGAGCAATACATGCGGCCTTTAGTCGACAGCCAGTCGGATATCATGTCTACGATAGAGACGGCGTAAACTTGCATACGAGAAACTAGCCTTCTGTATCCTTAGTGAGATTTCGTCAGTGATCAACGCTCTAGCGTTGGCTGATGCAGATTCCCAAATAAGTGAATTGGTCAACACGCTCTACCACTTCACTCCATATTTCTAAGCTAGGAGTTAGTTAGTGTAGTCCAGTCCTGTAGTATCATCTTACATTTGGCGGGAGTGAGTCGTATACCGAACATTCGAAGATTGCAGCTCAAGGTGTTCAGAAGACTATGCTGTATTTTGTCAGCGTCTTCTCCCAGGTTCGGAGGACTATATCATCTGCATATTCTAAGTTAACGACATTATTCCCTGGTGGTAACAAGTCAATCCCTGAGTCTCTGAATTGAGTTACGGTTAAGTCCATTAGTACATCCATGATGAAATTGAAGGAGAACGGAACGAACTGCTGAAATGATACAAAATAATAATAATTATTATAATTTGCTTTATTCCAAAACAGTACTTGTGATACAGAATGGAATTCTCAGCATTTTTACTACAGTATTGCATCCAGTTAGTACATGATCAATAAATAGAATTCTACATAGATCAAGGAAATCTCAGTTCAT